GCATGGTGAAGGTCTCTGAGTACACAGTTTTCACCCAATATTCCCCATCAGTCTCTGGAAAGAACCAGTTATCAGGCCTTGAGCACCTGGGGAAGAGCCAGCTGGGGGAAGAACAGAACTTCCTGCCAATACCAGCACCAAATCATGAGCCCATGAGTTGGCCCGCTGGGAGAACCAGCCCCCCACTGACAGCAGCCCCAGCCAACACCTGTGGCCCCAAGCAGGAGACCCTGTGAGACCACCCCTGCCCTGAGCAGAATCTGCCAGGTTCATCCAGTGTTGAATCCCCCATCCCACAGAAACATGAGACAAGACAGACTTGGCCTCAAGCTGTTCCATTTGGGAGCCTGTTGCCACACAGCCACAAAAGATGAACATCAACTAAGCACCTGGAAGCAGGTGGCTGGGTTACATCAATGAAAACAACCCTCCAAAACAGAGGGAATGGCCGTGGGACTGGGCACTGGGCATTGGCAAGCACTTGAGGGGAGAGCTATGAAAAGCCTGAGGGTCCCATGTTGGCAAACTTTCTACCCTGAAGCCGAGATGTCTACAGTGCAGAACTCGCAAAGGTCTTCCTGGCCACTGACATGAGCCGTGAGCAGCTGTCTTTCTGCCCCATTGTGCCATGCAGTGGGTGTGAGGAAGATGAGGGTGTGATGTGAGACCCATGCAGGTCTCCGCTGCACCTGCTTCCTCATGGCTGGGCCTGGCCTGAGATATTGCAGGTGGAACATGGTGGGGTATGGGATGCAGAATGCAATGACGTGGGCCTCTTCCTATGGACTCAGCACCCAGGGGCTATGTAGAGGCAGGTGGAAGTGCTCTCCTGCCCTGAGGCAGGTAGGGACAGGTGGCCCTGAGAGTGCTTCTGGGGTCCAACGGTGTCACATCTATTACTCAGGCGAAGGCACATAAGTCCCCCTCAACACACACACCCTGAACCCATCGGGTGACTTACTCCCCGTATGACAGAGAAGCAAAGAAGGGAGCAGCCCCCTGCATATCAAACCCAAACTACAAGTTCAATGGAAAAAAAAAATACAGTCATTCCCTCTCACTCAGTTTTGCTTTCCCCTGCTTCAGTTACTCATGATCCGTCATGGAAAGATGTAACATGGATAATTCTCGAAATAAGTAACTCTGAGAGTTGTGCACTCTCGGAGAAGGGTGCTCTCATCACATGCTGTCCCTCTCCCTCCCACTGGACAGGGGAATGTTCCTTCGTGTTGCAGCCCCAGGGTGCTTGTGCTCCAGCTACCTCACATAGCAGTCCAACGATGCATCACAGGGCCTACCTGCTTCACATCATCCTGCAGGCACTGGGTCATCTCACCAGGTCACAGTACAGTGAGTTGGCTTTGAGAGTGAGACCACATTCACAAACTTTTACTATAGTCTATTGTTATATTTGGCCCTATTTTGTTGTTGGTTGTGATTTGATAATCTCTTACTGTGCCTAACCTATACATTAAATTTTATCATAGGCATGATTGTATAGGAATAAAGACGTATTATACAAAGGGGACCTCATAAAGCTCATGGAAAGTGGAACTAAAAGATAGCATGGGGGCCAGCATTGCAGCTTAGTGGGGTTAAGTCGCCACCTGCCTGTGACACTGGCAACCACTAGGGATGCAGTTTGAGTCTCAGCTGCTCCACTTCTGATTCAGGTCCCTGCTGGAAAAACAGTGGAATGGTAGAGTGTTTGGGCCTTGCTGTCTGCAAGAAAACCCCAAATGAAGATTCTGGCTTCTGCCTGGCCACAGTGACCAACTGGGGGATGAACCCGTGAATGAAAAATCCTCCTTCTCTCTCTCTTTCTCTCTCTCTTCTCCCCTTCTATCTCTCCCTCTTTCTCTACAACTAGACCTTTCAAATAAATACATCTTTAAAAACCATGCAAAGTTGTCATCAGTTGTTTGAACTCTCTTCCTCTAGGGCTCCGGCTTTCCTGGGAGCCCCGGATGCAGCCACTACAGAGACAGTCTTGGGCTGCAGGAGGAGAATCCCGACAGCAGGAAGAGCTTGCAAAGAGCTACTGGCTCTACTCTGCTGTGCTCATCACATTTAGTAAAATTAAGCAAATAGAGATCCCAAGAGTAAACGGCTAGAGAGAGAATGAGAGCTACCAGAACAGGAACCAGAACCAAGGCAAGATCACCGCAGACATCATTAAAGAACCACATTAAGGCTCCTGAATTGGAAACATTCTGAAAATCTGTACCAGAACTGCCAGGGTCGTTTGGGCTATCTCCTGCTGCACCACCGTTTACACAGATAACCCGGTACAGAAAGCTTTTTGGAAAGCATTCTGATGATGCATACGAAAAACCATAAACATCCCTGTGCCTTCTCTTGATGTGAAACTTCTGGGAATTGATCCCAGGGAAAACAATCCCAAAGAAAGCACAGGCTACAAGCACAAGCTTGTGTTAGTTACACTAATTGGAAACTGGAAACCACAACAAAATCGAGCCGTTAGGGAACAGGTGTGTAAGTTGGGAGACCTATCCCTTTAACGAGGTGTCAAGAAGTGATGGACACTGGTGGGATCCGACTGACCAGCTGCGGAACACCCCTGCTATAAATCTGCAGATAGCGATGTGCTTGCATTTGAATTGCCATTATGTACAACCATTCTCAACCTACACCCAAACCTGGATGCAATGCAGAAAAATCACTATCTTCTCCTTTGCTGGGTAAACTTTGGGGTTATTCTCACGTGTGTGTGCAGAGCCATCACAACAATGATAATGATGAAGAAGAAGATGACGGTGGTGGTATTTTAGTGGTAGCATCTGAATGACAAAGCCATGCTCAGCTGCTGTGCAAACTGTAGGGGTCCCTAAACATTTAAAGATTCAGCAAGATCTTCAGCGATGCTTCCACACAGCCGGAAGCGTGTGAGGGTTGGCTGTGTCACATGAATCCCATGCCGCCCGCAATGAGAAGTTCCAGGGTTCCCACTGCTGTGCACCCTTCCAAGCCACCCTCCACAGCTACCCTACCAGACTCATGCCAGCTTAACTCTCTGGTTAAGAGTTAATAGATCTTGTCTGTCTTCCAAGCACTGTGGCTGGGCTGCCGGGATGCCTGGTAACACACACTGCCAGTGTGGCCCGGATGTGGCCTGGAGGCATGTTTTGTTTGGCTCACATAGTGTTTTAGAAGTTGGAACAGTTCACTTAGAAAAAATGAAACTAAACATTTCCAGCATGTCATGGGAGACTAAAAGCTGTGACAGCACCAGATCCATATTCCCAAACTATGGGAACCATCTGCGCCCCTGCAGGGGCCCTGAATCACGTATATACTCCCAGGTTCCCATGGACACCCATTTTGTACCAGGTACTGCTCCAGCTGCTGGGTTAGGAATTCTACAAACACTGGGTTCAAAAGAGCCTACGGGCAAGGAGGACCACACTGGCAGGTGGCTGGGGCAAGCTCTCTGAGGTGTGGATGAGAACAATTCAGGCTAAAGAATGAATTTGTGTAAAAGCTTAGAGATGGGGGGCAGAAGGGACAAAGCACAGCTGGAGACCAGATGTGGTCTAGCATCAGCGGTGAGAAGTGTGGTGTTCGGCATGGAGTGATGTGATCCGGCCCACTCAAATGAAATCCCCCTGCTACTTCACTGGACAACCCCAAGAGGTCCAGGTGAGGGATGCCCAGAGTGGACTGGAAGCCAAGTGGCCTGCTGAGAGGTAGCGCTGCTGGCAGCTTGCAGGGAGTGGATGGGTAGCAGGTGCAAGACGAGTGTCAAGAACGTGCTTTTCCAATCAGGGAACATGCTGACCGGTTCCAACAAGAGGAACATACCATGTTCTGCTTAAACCCATAACGTGTGGTTCCTGTGGGCCCAAAAGCAAAAGATGGCCTTGCATTTAGTGTAGCAGAGAGAACACCTCAGCATGGGACCACTCAAGATTAAGACATACACTACCCAAAAATTCGCTAGGCAACTTTGGTTGCTGAGCTCACATCATCTTGTACAAGCAAAGGGGCTGCAGTATCATAATGTGGAATTACTGTTGCAGCTGCTCTCGGGTCTGTGACTGTACATGTGTAGTTCTACCCTTTGGGGGGCCCCTGAAAGTTGGGAGCACAGCTGAAGCTTCCTAGGGAGGCTGAGAGTCACAATGAGCTGGGTGTCCTCCCAGGCCCCATGACGTGACCAAGCATGGGGCTGCAGGAGCCCTAGAAATTTGGACTGGCATGTTGGCTCAACTAGCTAATTCTCCCCCTCAATAGCCAGGATCCCATATAGGTACTGGTTCGTGTCCTGGCTGCTCCACTTCCCATCCAGCTCTCTGCTTATGACCTGGGAAGGCTACTGCTCTGGCTCAGAAACCAGATCCATCCAGGAAGCCCCGTGGGACACTAAGAAGGGCAGTGAGGAGGGCCCTAGGAACCCTGGGAAGGGAAGCCAGCCTGGAAAGAGGAGACACCTGGAGTGGTGCAGGAGTTGTTAGCCTTCTCCTAACGCAGGGGCAGTGAGCAGGGAGAGAGACCCCAGCATCCTCTCCTGTACACTTGAGCTCTTGCCTAGGTTACTCCTAATACTGCCTGAGTGTTATAAGGAGAGTTGTTGGCCTGAGTCATTCACAGAACAGTGGCAAAGACAAAAGTCTGCACCTGTTGGGTACAGATGTGATGTGTCTGTGGTTGATGAGTCTATGGATACAGACTGACCATTGCATCAAGTCATGATGGACTTCCCACTGTCCAGAGTTGAAAGTCATCTCCACCAAGCAGCTGGCTTCTGCCTGAGTCCCTGATGCCTTTCCCGCACCTTAACCTTGCACATATCAGGTGCTCAATCACAGCGTGGTGCGGCTGACTGCACAACTGACAGATGTGGAAAGGTAATCTTGGAGACGCTCCTGCCTGCGATGTGGCAGTCCCTCTCTGGCCTTGACCTTCCCTCTAAGGCAGATATCTGCCAACAGCATGGTTTCCTTCCTGTACCCCTATTATAACTGGGTGACAACACCTACCAAACGGGGGGAGCCACCCAGCCTGTGAGGCGCAGACATCCCTCTCCTGGGTCCTCCTGCCGTAGGTTGCGGAGTAGATGTTGAGAAACTTGGACTCATGACAATGAAGCTTCAGCTCCTGGTCTTCACACACTGTTTTGTTTTTTAATTCATCTGCAACAAACACAGACAGCACCATCAGCTTCCTTCCAAAGGAGTAGGCAAGCCCTGCGTCCCCATTGGCCAAACGCCTGAGGTTCATCCCACACTCCACCCTGGAGACTAGGCCCTAGGAGAGGGAGACTACCAGGATGCCCCAGCCAGCCTTGCGGAGCCTCTTCAGGAAGAAGATGTGTCCCAGTGAGAGACAGCACAGGTAAACCTGACCCTGAACTCCACAACTTGCTTCCCCATCGGGGTGTTTAGAGAGAACAAGATAATTTGAAAGCAAACCCTGCCCCATCAAGAATTGCTCCTTGCGGCTGGTGCCATTGCATGATAGAGCAATTCTCCATTTGCAGCACTGGTGTCCCATAAGGGTGCTGGTTCATGTCCTAGCTGCTCTACTTCTGATCCAGCTCCCTACTTATGGCCTGGTAAAGCACAGGAAGATGGTTCAAGCCCTTGGATTCCTATACCCATGTGGGAAATTTGGAAGAAGCTCTTGGCTACTGGCCTCAGATTGTCCCAGCTCTGGCTATGGTAACCATTTGGGGGAGTGAACCAATGTGTAGAAGATCTCTGTTTCTCCTTCTCCTTCTGTAACACTGCCTTTTCAATAATAATGAAAAAATCTTCAAAAAAATATTAGGGTCCATTGATGTGGGCTAGCCACCACCTGTGATACCAATATCCTGTACGAGTGGCAGTTTGAGTCCTGGCTGCTCTACTTCTGATCCAGCTCCCTGCTAACCTTGCTGGGCAGGTAGCATGTTTGCTGGGCCCCACCACCCAACGTGTGACCCAAATGGAATTCTGTATCTTCTCTCTGTAGGTCTGACTTTCCAAGAAAAATAAATAAATCTTTAAAAATTCTATATATGTATCTGAGATGTTGAATTATTATTACGCTGAGTTGCAACCACAACAGCCTGAAGGCTCCCACCTTACAAAGTGCAGAAAGGGTAAGTAGCACACACTGGGGCTGCAGGGCTGGAGCCCTGGGCCTAGAATCAATGGCACTTGAACTCCAAATTTAACAGGTGAAAGAGAGGGACCAACATTGTGACATAACTGGTTAAGCCAACACCTGTGATACCAGTGTCCCAGATGGGCACCTGTTCCCGTCCCAGCTGCTTCACTTCCCACCAATGTATCTGGGAAAGCAGCAAAAGTTGACCTACATTCTTGGGCCCCTGCACCCACATAGGAGACCTTGCAGAACCTCTGGCTCTTGGCTTCGGACTAGCTCTGCCTCAGCCATTATAGCCATTTGGGGAGTCAACGAGTGGATGGGAGATTCTCTCTCCATTTCTCCTTTCTTTGTAATTCTGACTCTCAAATAGATTAAAAAAAAATTTTTAAGGTAAAAGAAAGTGATTTCCAAATACAAAGCACATCTTTCTGAAAGTGCCCAATTCCCACGACTTTCTACCAAAAACAGAGAGAAGCAGGAGTGAGGGCAAACTTGAACTGCACAAGGGAAAGCTTTTGGGGCCATCATGATGACCACCAGCTTCGGTGATGCTGGTCTGTTACACAATCTTTCCCTCTCCCCAACTCTAGCCACTCAAGGTCAATGGCAGCTCAAAAATATTAAATGGAAAATTCCAGAAAGAAATCACTCACTCCTTTTACTTCACCTGCCTTTCTGAGCAGCATGATGAAATCTCTCATCACCCCTCTCTGTCCTGGCCCGGACATGAATCTCCCCTGGGTCCAGCGTATCTACACTGCATATGCTACCTGCTGTTAGTCACTCACCAGTTAGTGGTTACCAGAGCGACTGTCAAATTGTGTTCACATAATCCTTATTTCCATTGATGAGGGTCTCAGAGTGGTGATGCCGATGGTTTTATTCAATTGCTCCACCTGTTTTATTATTAGCCCTATTGTTGATCATTTATGATGCCTTACTGACCAATGAGTCTTTATCCTAGATACACAGGAAGAGGAGAAACCACGGGCAACAGGTATACAGGACTTGATGCTATACTATAGATCCTTGCTTTCTGGAACCCAGAGGGGGACTTGGAACGCATCCTGGAGCACAGCTGGATGTGATCATGGCGGTGCAATCCCATCCCAGGAGCTCAGAGTGGACAGCAGGCTCACGTCAAGCCCAGCGTCTTTAAATCCAGAAAAGACCACCTCACCGAGGGAAAATGAGAGCGCCAGCCAAGTACAGGCTTTGGAGGCCCCAGCCCCACCCGCGCGCCACACAGCTGAGACCTGGAGCCCTGCGAAGTTGTGTTTTGTTTCTCTAAAAGGAGCAGAGTCTGACCGGGTCTTCGCAGGGCAGGACTCTCAGATGAGTCACATCCGCCCTGGTGCAGGCTCCCCAGACTGTGCGCAAGCGGCTGGGTCCCAACAAAGCTGCGAAACCTTGCCTGACTTCAAAGGGCCTGAGCGAAGGCTGCGCTTGAGTGCAGAAAAGAGGGCACGAGCTGGCCACCGGCGGAGCTGACGCACCTTGCGACCTTCCGGCAGCACGGATGGCAAGCTAGCTCCGGGATGCCTTGTAGCTGCTGAGCTGGTCGGAAAGCCGGGAGGGAAAAGGCGGGACGAAACTGAGTTTTATCTCAGTGAGCTGGGGACTTTTTGAGCAGAAAAGTTTTTTTCTTTTGCTCGGAATTTTAAAGTATTATGCTTTTTAAATACACATTGTGAAATGCATCTTATAGTGACATCGCTTTGATTGACTAAAACCCATTCATTTTTGGAAGCCTGGATGCCAGCTCTAATCCACCCAGGGTAACCCAGCACCTGCCTGCAAAACCTCCAGCGATTTGTCCCCAGATTATGGGCAAATCAGCTCCTAGAACGGACAGGGCCTGAGCGTGTCTCATTACATACTCCTAGGCCACTGTTGAATCACTGGGTTCCCTGGGAATATGCTAACTCACGGTCACCCGAGAGTGACATTTCTGGATTCAAGAAAAACAACGGGACGGCTAACATAACTGCTGCTTTTCTCAGAGAATGAGAACTTGTTTCAGAGACCGGTTGGGGTTCTCAGTTGGTGTTGGCTTAGAGGAGGAGTGGGCAGCTTTCCCAGAGGGGGGTCACTGGCACTCTGCGGGCATAGCCCTGGAGGGGACGGGGGGGGGTCACCGGCACTATGCGGGCATAGCCCTGGAGGGGACAGAATGGGGGAGGTGTAACAGGTGCGTGGGAAGGCAGAACCATGCCTGAGCGTAAAGGACATCAGCCATGTTCTCCCTCTTAGCTCTTAACAAGTGCATGGGTCCTCCCAGATGCTCTCTTGCCTTACCAGGAGATCACATCAACACAGACTCATTGCCAAGTGAAAACACCTAAGCTTAAAATGTATTGGATGCAGTTGCTCTACCGGCTGTGCTACCCAACCCACAACGCTCACAGCCGAGCATCAGATGTACATCCTTCTGACTGCTGCTGCCAACTGTGTGTGAAAGAGGATGGAATGGTATTTCACTGGCCTGAGGAAAAAGACACAAATTCAAAATGTGAAGTAGAGATGCCACTGGACTGCTCAGCACTTTGGCGCCAGGGTCAAGTTGGAGACACCTACGTCTGTCTCTCCTAAGCATGAGACCATCCAGGAATCTAGGGCAAGCAGAGTGAGTGATGATCAACAGTGCATTTGAATGTCAGAGCGGGCGGACATCAAGTGCACCCAGGTGGCGGTCATTTTGTGCTCTTACCTTCTCGACAGACAATATACCCTACATTGTCTGCACCGGGGGCAGACCACACCACTCCCTCCCCCTGGCTTCCACCTCGATCTGTCGTTCTCAGCTTGAGCTAGGATTCCTTGAGCCAGCTCCGAGGACTCACATACCAGTGCCCGCTGACTGGCCTCAACTCCCTGACAGGTTCACGACAAGCATTGCACTGGCAGTGCTGTCATGTTAGTCTGACAGTGGCCCTGGGCAGAAAGGTCACAGTCTTTCACTTTCAGAACTCATGTCAGAGTCGCAGCAAGGTTCCTGCTGCCTCCTCATGGCCCAAGGTCACACTGCAACTGACCGTGTCTGCCCATTTCCTAAATATCTCCACCAAAGTCAAGTTCACAGAACCTGGGTTGAGCCGTGAGGAGCTGAGGCTAAGTGACTCACAGTAAGACTTGGCTCTGGGCACCCCTGAGGCACTGAGGCAGCAAGCAGGGGGAGGCTTGGGCCAATCCATGCCCTGCATGGACTGGAGCTGGGAGCAAAGGAGCCCCAGGAGAGGAGAGGACGTGGAGACCACGTCACTGACCCCTGTGTCTGACGGCCTTAATGGGAACCACCTGCCAGGCCTGCTGCAGGCTGCCAAGGGCCTGGTTGCCCACGGGTGCTGCTTTCCCATCTATCCTCCATGGGCAGTCCCCAGGGCTTTACAACCTCATCATAGCTCCTTCCTGAAGATGCTCCGCCACACACCCCCCACCTCTTTGCCACCAGAGCCAGTTTCTGCTCCAGCTTCTGACCTGAGCTCCGTCCAGCTCCTCTCCTCCACCCACCCCTTCACTGTTGGTACCTGTATACCCTGCGCTCATAAGCCACAGGCTGTGTGGGAAGTGCACTTTCTGTGTCCCCAGCCCTACCTTCTCAGCATCACCATGGCTTCCTTCAGAAATCTCTGCCGAGTCTCTGGCCGAGACTGATCCCTCCTATGAGCTCCTCGCAAAGAGCCAAACAGGTGTCTCTCTGTGGAAGCCCAGCCTCCGCCCAACAGCTTATGCATGCTTCTGTGATCCCACAGAAACGAAAGGCCTCCTAGACTGTACAGTCTGGGTAGTTAGGATGTGCTTGCCTGTGTTTTCCCAGGGCTGAATGCAGCACTGGCCCCGGCGAGGTGAGCATTGCACCACATACACTCCCTGTGCACCTGACACTCTGGAATGGCAATGGTCAAGGGTAGTGTCCCTGTGCTCAAGATCCTTACACACTGGTGGGGATAGGGGGCTACGGAGGAGGCCCAAGGCAAGATGCTGTGATCAGGAAGAATGAGGACACAAGGTTGGGGCAGGGTCTTCATTCAAGCATTTGAATAGACAAGGTAAATCTCTTTGCAAAGGGGGCAGAAATGAAAGCATAAGAAGAGCAGTCAGGGGATGACCATTCATGTTACAATATTGCGAGGTGGCCAGAAGAGGATGCTGCACCTGCTCAGGACAGAGAAACCCGGCAGGAGACCCCTGACCCAACACCCGGTAAAGCAGGTACTTAGCCCTGTCTGCAGAAAGAAAATGAAGATGCCACCTGCACACTGTGGTCAGGAGGCTGAGGCCCAGCAGCCACGGAGCCAGGGCCCAGACAGCTTTACAAGGACCAATGGCTGGGGTTTCCCTACTTTTTATTATGCAAAATGTCAAACATACAGGCAAAGGAAAGACTAGCACAAGAAAGAGTTAGAGTTCCCCGGCTGCTAATATTTGTTTTTTTTTTTTTATTGTTGCTTACATTATATTATGTAGTACAGTTTTATAGGGCTGCTAATATTTGGAACAAAGGCCACTTTAAAAAGGGGGTGGGGTTTCTTTGTTCATGGGAGGAGAGAAGAAGGCAAAGCTAAGAGCAGCCAAGGTGCTCTCGCTCTCAGTCCTGGAGACCTAGCCTGGAGGGATGCCTGGGGCAGCTCTGGATGAATGTCCCTGGGATCTGTAGGCAGAGGCAGCAGCTGGTAACATCTTCTAGAGGCTGCTCCAGGGAGGGAGGGCCAGTCATCATTCCGCCAGAGCACAGTGGGTGATTGTGGAGCATGTGTGATGTGCAGGGTAAGGTTGAGTGTGCATGTGTGAGTGCGTGGGTGTGAGCATATGGATACGTGTGAGGGGGTATGACACTCTAAGGCACAATGGTATGTGTGACAGTATGCAATGGTGTGTTACGTCAAGGTGTGTGCACAACTGGCTCGCATGTTGTACAAAGGTGTATGTGACGACCTGTGTATCCATTGAGCATGTAGTGTGACAGTGTATGTGTGAGTGTGTGTGACTACCATGCATGTTGGATGACTGTATATGTGTGTGTGACAGTGAGCATGCCCACTGTGTACTTGGTGTGACCGTGAGTAGCTACCATGTGTGTTCGAAGGCATGCACCTGACCACATGTGTGTCATGTGTGTGGTATGATAGCATGCATGAACATGCATGCAAGTGGGTATCTGAGTGTGTGAGTGAGTGTGACTGCACATGCACCGTCAGCCAGTGCCACAGAGACCTGGGTAGTCAGTGAAAGCCACAAGACCTAGGGCACCAAGGTCTCAGGAATGCTGGGCTCAGACAAGAATAATCGGGGAACTCATGCCAAAAAAATGGGTTGTGCTGGGATGCAGGGAGAACTTGGAAAATGGTTGCCGCTTGGGTTTTGGTGCGTAATTGCTGCTGTCATTTTTTAGAGATTTATTTTTATGTGAAAGCTAGATTTATAGAGAGAAAAGAGACAGAGAGGAGATAGTTCCATCTTCTGGTTCACTCCTCAAATGGCTGCAAAAACCAGAGCTGAATTGGTCCAAAGCCAGGACCCAGGGGCTTCTTCTGGGTGATCAGATAAATTGAGGAACTCACAGACTTGGACCATCCTTCATTGCTTACCCAGGACATTAACAGGGAGCCAGATTGCAAGGGGAGCAGGGATTTGAACTGGTGTCCCCATGGGATGTAAGCACCTTATGTGGAGGCTTAACGTACTACGCCGTAGCACCATCACTACTGTCATTTCTTTTCAACCAGTTGTCTGGGCTGCTGTGATGCTGCGGCCCAGCATGTGATGTGTGTCTCTCGGGAGGCCCTTCACTCTGGGAGATGTGGTTATTTCTGGTGAGCAACAGGCTCATCACAAAGACCTGTGCACCCCAGAATGACAATGAGGGTCCATGGAGAAAAGTAGAACAATCAGAATAAAAGACATTCTCAGCCATATCCTCTCTCACTCTCCTAGGGAGCAAACCCAGTCCAGGACAGCCTGGCCAGCACTGGAAATGGGAGAAGCAGCTCCTGAGGGCCAGAGCCAGTGGCTCAGGTGGCATCTGCTCTCCTGATCCTCTAGGACAAAGGGCACACAGCAAGGCAGCCTGGGAAAGCAGCACTGGGTCTCCATTCTGAGAAGCCCTGGATGCAGTCTCCCCACTCCTGACGGTTCCAGCATCAGCAAGGATGTTTTACCTTCAGGCACCTGAAGGGAAGCGTGCGCATGTGTACACACACCATCAGCCTCTGGCTCCCTTCCCGCCCTCACAAGCTGACTCTGCATGTATCCGGATAGTCCTAGGAACCCGAGTGTCTGTTGACCAGCAGGTGACTGCATCTGCAGTGTGCAGGACTGAGAAGAGCATCCCAAGCCCACAGTCCAACCCCCGTGGAAGTTACTTACTAGGTTGGCATTTAAAGGAGACCAGCAGGTATTTATTGCTTCCTGGACAAAGGTCAGGTCCAAAGACACGGCTATTGACCAGGAGGTGGCAGGCCCGCTGGTTCTGGCACTCATCCAGCACCTTCTAGAAGGAGGGGACAGAAAAGGCACAGGCTTGAGAACAGCATACCATGTACTGTGTCCACCAGACCCCATACCCAAACTGTGCTGGGCTCTGGGGAGGGAGAGGCAAGAACGCATCACTGCCTGGCTGCAGCACATGCGTCAGGGTGACAGGGTAGCCCCTGGCCCCCTGCCTTCTGCTGGGGGTGGAGGGCTGGCAGAAGCCCAGCAGGAAGCGGCCGCATGGCTGGCATTACTGCTGAGGTCTTTGACAGGAGCAAGGCATTGTGGAGGATGCGGGAGACACAGATGAGACCAGGGCACCTGCTGGTATCCAGGGGCCCTTAAGGAGGCTCCCCTAGCTGCCTAGCCCACCAGGCCATGGTGTCCAGGAGTCACAGTCATGGCTCCTCATTCTTGTAAGTAGCCAGTTGGATCCAGGGCATGGTCTGGGAGTTCAAGCCCTTGTCAGCTCATGGCCTTCCACCCCAGCCAACAAAAAGCTGATTCCTGCCCTGACCAAGACTCTGTGGAACAGAGTATTGAAACAGTGGAACAGAACCACTGTTCCCTGGTAGAGTGATGTCTATTATTATTATTATTACTATTTTATTATTGTTGTTATTAAGGCAGATTTACAGAGAGAAGAGGAGACAGAAATGTCTTCTGTCTGCTGGTTCACTCCCCATGTAGCCAAAACAGCCAGAGCTGAGCCGATCTGAAGCCAGCAGCTTCTTCCAGGTATACCATACAGGTGCAGGGTCCTATGAATTTGGGCAGTCCTCCACTGCTTTCCCAGGCCACAAGCAGGGAGCTAGATGGGAAGTGAATCAGCTAGGGCATAAACCAGCACCCATATGGGATCCTAGTGTTTGAAGGGGGATTAATTGATTGAGTTTTTGTGCTGGGTCCTAGATGACATTCTTAGCCAAACACCATTGAACACTGGGTTTAAAAGCTTTCCTTGAACCTCCTCTCCCTCTCCCCATCTCCCTCCTGCTGTTGTCCCAAAGACGCCCTTATCTATTGGTGAAACTGCCCTGTGGCCGCTGCTGGACCTAGCCCCCATGGGCCCATGTATGGGCCAGTACTTGGTCTTGTGTCTGCCCAGGTTCCCACCATTCCCACGCAGAACCAGCATGGCCCATGACAAATACAGATGCCCCGGGCTTGCCTACAGAAACCAGGGCTTCCTAGGGGCACGCTCCCAGAGTGTCAGGAGAGGGTCAGGTGCCCTCCTTTCCCCCGCTTCCTAGGTGTCAGCCCATCCTCAGACCTGGGGCAGATGCACATCCACTAGGAAGAATGTTCAGGCAGGGGACCAGTGTTGTGGTACAGCATGTGAAGCTGCCACCTGTAATGCCGACACTGCACATGAACACTTGCTTGAGTCCTGGCTACTCTGCTTCCGACCCAGCTTCCTGTGCGTGCTCCTGGGAAGGCAGCAGAGGATGGTCCAAGCAGCTGGGCTCCTGCTGCCCACATGGGAGACCTAGATGGAGTTTCAGGCTCCTAGCTTCAGCCTGGCCTAGGCCTGTCATTGCAGTCATTCAGGGAGTGAACCAGCAGATGGGAGATCTCTCCCACTTTCAAATAAATAATGTTTAAAATGCCCAGGGAGACTCCTTGGGTATTGAGGCGGCATGAGGCCAAGGTTCTGTTAAAGTAATTCAACCCTCTCAAGTCCCTGGTGGGCTCCATGCTAACAAGCCGGGCAGGGCTGTGTTCTGTGTGGTGGGAGCTGGGAAGTGCATAGCAGAGTGGGGGCTGGTGGAAACCTCCTGTGTGCATGGACACCAGTCTCTTCCTGTCTTCAGGAAGCACCTCGTCTGGGCTCTTGGGGGACAGCAAACCACCCCTCCAAGGGCAGGACTCCTGAGCTCAGGATGAAAGCTCAGCAGCTCACAAGGAAGTTTCTGGAAAGCAAGCCCTGACCAGCATCACAAATGTTAACTTGTAGGACAGATGGAACGCCCATCTCATTCAGGGGTGCCTGGTTGAGCTAGCGCGCCAGTTTATGCTTCCCCTAAACAGGCACTCCCACCCTTCGGGCATCAGCCAATGTTCCTTTCCTACACTGGGAGGGCAGGGAATGGTCTGGGTTCCAGACTGGGCTGGGCAGGAGGTTGAGTGAGGGGACAAGGGCAGGCCGACAGGGTTCTAGCTTTTGGAGAGTACTCAGGAGCAAGAACTGAGCATGGGGTGAGGTCCACAATGCCAGTCACTGACCAATGCCTGGAGAAACACATTGCCACTCCCCAGGGAATGGAAGTCACGACAAAAGAATTCACACAAACGCGTTGCTTTGGGCTGCTTGGTTGGGACTCTGGCCAGTCACATGGCTGCCAGGCCTTTGGTTCTCAGAAGAGAGTTGATACAAGGTGCCAGAAGTAGAAAACTCCTTACGGCTCTATATTATTGGTGATTCTCCTCTTTGGGCCTTAGAGTCCGCACCTTTAAAGCTGGTTGTATTTCTCCTTAGTTCTCCTGCTAAATTGACCTCTACCCCTAGTTCCTGTGATTGACAAACTCCAACTCACCCCTCTCTGGCCACATGTTCTGAAATGCCCTTCCTTCTTCGCAAATGGAACTTGGGAGAAGCCTATTTCATTCCACACAGTCATCCTGAGCAACAAGTTGTACAGGTTGAGGAGCCAGAGACAGCACGGTACAAGTTCACTGGCAAATGGAACGTTGCAGTAGTCCAAAGCCATCATGGCCTCTTCGCGCAACAAGTGTCTTCCCAAATGTGCCAAGCCAGAGGAGCTTACCCAGCACCGGCTTATGATACCATGCCATGAAGGGATGAATTCAGCAGGGGGTGTCTCCTAACAGCCCAAAAAGATAAGACAACGAGTATCTACAGCTGCAGACAGAAGCAAGCCCTAAGAATGAACAAGACAGGTGTTGACATGTCCCTTCCTTGAGTCTATGAACTTTGCCTGGCAGACACCTGTTGTCCCTAGTGAAGTATCCCCTCCCTTCTGGGGTACTGAAGGGAACTGCGGAGCCCCCTGCTTCCCCACAAGGTTGTTCTTGGCTTTAGGGGGTCGCCTGGAATAAGGTCGTAGTACAGATGTATTCATGGAGCCATCTAAGAGGCAGGGCTCCTAACTCAACTTCTTTGGGTAGAGAAGCAGCTAATACTTGCCAATCGGTGATTTATATTAATTGGAATTTTCACGGATTAGGTCTGCCTTGAGGCAAGTGCCATTGTCACAAACACAGAGAGAGAGAGAGAGAGAGAGAGAGAGAGATCATCAACATCTTGCCACTTGTACACAAGGCAGTACCTGCAAGGTTGTGGGTGCCACACAGGCTAAGTGCTCTTCCTTCTGCTGGGACCCACACATCTGGAAATCTTGCCCATAAAATGCCGATTGGACACTGATGGTGGAATGCCGAGGGCACTGCAGGTTCAAGTGGTCCCCGTCACATGCATAGGCTGTGTGGTTCTGCAGCAGTTTAGTTAGGTAGCCTGAAAAACATGCAGCTGTGTTACAAGAGGCCCAGGAACTCATGGATTCTTCCCGGGTGCTGGAGCACGGTGGGGTGGGGGAGGGTGGGCATCCATTGCCTTCCATGGGTGGGAAGGGGTTTCTAGAGGAAAGAACAGGAAGCAGGGGCAGAGTAGATCCCATAGCAGTTCCCTGTGTAAATGGGGGATCTCCTGCCTAGACTGAGAATTGATCTTCAGAACCCAAAATCTGGGGTTGGTCCAATCTAAGGATTGCAGGGAGGGGGTAGCCTGGGGAAATTCTTTCCTGGGCAGGAAACACCAAGGCCCTGGCTTGCAGGAAAATGCTGTGAGTGGGTGCTCCCCACCCTGGGCAAGACCATGCTTGTCCTGACACTCGTTTGATCTGGCCACTGTCAAGGCCATGTGTTCCTAGGGTACAAGGATGCAGTTTGGTTTCAGGAGATTGCTTGGGACAACCTGCCTCTCACACCCCTGGAGAAAGCAAGCGAGGTGGTACTCCTCGCACTGGGTACAGATGTGTGCTGCATTGCCAAGGGACAGGCAGTCAGCAGTGGTCCTCACACACATGTGCACCAGGACCCTTAGAATGTGGCCTGCTTTGGAAACGAGGTGGGTGCAGACATGCGTAGGGCTGGAGTGACACTGGAGACAGCTGTCCACTTCCAAAGCCATTCTTCGCAGCAACCCTGTGGAAAGCTGCCTTGGGCCTCAGACCCAGCCTCCTTGCAGGTTTCTCTCTAGGGGGCCATGGAAATGGCCCAACAGGTACAGGGGATTCAAGCGGGCAAAAGGGGTGGGGTAGAACTGCACCACTTCTCAGCAAAGAGGAGTGAAGGTTCATACAAAATGTGGATTCCTTTCGGCCTTCTTCCACCTTCCGGGGTCAACATCAAGGTCACTGGGAGCACAGCCAGGGACTTTCTGCCTGAGGTGTGTGGGAGACAGGCTTGGCAGGCCTTGGCCTTGGCCTCCGACGGGGAGGAGGGACCGTGAGGCAGGGTTGAGGCATGACTGCTAGCTTTCCACATGAGCAGCCTGTGCTGAAGTCATGCCTGTGTAGGTTTCACAATTTCTGTGATGCAATGCTGAGAATCAGGCTCTCAAACACAACCCCAAGAACTTCCCCCAAACTCACAGCCAGGGGAATGGACAGAACCAGGCCTGGCACTGTCCCCTGAGGTCATCCAGAGCAGCCTGAAGACGAAGGCTCTAAGCAGCCCGCACATGGGCTGTCTCATTGAAAATCACCAGAAGAATAACCACAAGCTTCTCTGAGCAAGTTCACGGGTCCAAGCAAAGTCTAACACGAGTGGCGAAGGAACCCCAGGCATGGGCATGTGGGTGACAGCCCTGCCTGTCATCACCACCACCATGTGCTTCCACAGGCAGAGGAGAGGGCTACTCCCAGCATGGGAACTAACATGGCACAGGTGCCCAAAAGATGCTTTGTAACCAACACTTGCTCCAGTCCCAGCCACTCTCCCCTGCAACAGTCTGTGCCTCCATCAGTGACAAAAGTGAATGAGCTATGAGGCACAAAAAGCCACAGAGGGGCCTTGCATGCCCATTAGGGAGCGAGAGAAACCAGTCTGAAGGGGTAATCACACAATGAGTGATTCCAACTCTGCAACATCCTGGAAAAGACAAGACCATGGGAGCCAATAAGAAAAGTGCAGCAGCTGCCGGGAGTTGGGGGACAGGAGGGAGAGGGAGATGGGGCATGGAGCCTGCTGAGGGCAGTGTGACTGCTCTGCAGGGAACAGCGGATGCAAGTTCACACCCATTTGTGCAAACTCGAAGAACGTGCCACACTGGCACCAAACCCTGATGGGAAGCACCGCTTTGCAGGCTCACCAGCCAATGCCAAGGCATCCCTGTGGTTTGATGATGTCGCAGAGACCTGAGGGTGTGTGTGTTGGGGGAGAGATGTGTATGGGACACTGTACATTTCATTTCATTTTGCTATGAAGCTAAAACCTCTCCTGGACATAAAGGGGCTGGTGCCATGGCACAGCAACTGAATCCACTGTCTGCCTTGCTGGCATCCCATATTGGAGCACCAGTTCAGGTCGCAGCTGCTCCACTTCTGAGCCAGCTCCTTGCTAATGCTCCTAAAGAAGTATTGGAAGATGGCCCAAAGGCTTGTGCCCCCTGCCACCTGAATAGGAGAGCCAGCTACAGTTCCTGGCTCCTGACTCCAATTTCGCCCCAATCCTATGGCCAACCAGGTAGGGAGCCAGTGAATGGAAGGCTTTTTTCTCTCTACTTTGCCCTCTCTCTGTGTCACTCTGACTTTCAAATAAATAAGGTAAATCTGTGTTTAAAAATGTCGAAGAGGGAACCCCACCTCCCACCAGTACACACAGAACATCCATGGCTCGCCAGGCCAAGCACTGCCACTAGGAGTGAGGTATGGGAGGGGACTGAGTTAGGGAAGCTGCTCAGGCTGTTTTCAGACCTGATCAGTGGGCACAGCTTTCCCTTGCAAAAGTTCATGTACAGTTTGTACGTAGCTTTAAAGTTTATATTATTTGTGTACACATTTTTGTAAGTAGAAATGAAAAGATTTTCTCTTGGGGGTGGAGGGGGTAGAGTAGAAACCAAGGTTTATGCTGTGGCGTAGCTGGTTAAGCCACTGGCTGCAGCCTTGGCTTTCCATATGGGTGCCAGTTGGAGTCCCAGCTACTTCACTTCCAACCCAGCCCTCTACTAACTGGCCTGGGAAAACGGCAGAGGATTGCCCAGTCAAAACTCCTACACCCATGTGGGAGACCCAGAAGAAACTCCAGGGTCCTGGCTTCAGCTTGGCCCAGCTCTGGTCACTGCCATCGTTTGGTGAGTTAACCAGCAGATAGAAGATCTCCCTACTCTACTCTGTCTTTCTCTCTCTCTCTCTAGCTATGCCTCTCAGATAAATAAAAATAAATCTTAAAAAAAAAAAAAGCAAACCAAACTTTACCTGCAAGTATCCCACCAATCCTTTTAGACAATGAAAGCAAGCCTCGTGTTGCTTATTGCACCAGCTCCTTGGGCCTGCCGCCTGCCAGGGTCTGCCGTATTAGGAAGTCAGGTGGAGAGAAGAGGAACCAGGTCTTGAACGAGGCACTCTAACAGCATGTGCAGGCTTCCCAAGGGCTGTCCCTGACACCTATGCATGAAGCTTCCTTTTAGAAAGCCATTAGTCCTACTGGCAGTTGAAGGGGGACGGTGTGCCCTCATGCCTAGTCATCAGAGAACCCACTTTCAAACACCATCATCCTACGGCCTCATTTCCAACATAGAAATTTTAGAGGGACATGCACATTCAGACCCTAGCACAGAGTAGGGGTGTGTGTGTGTGTGTGTGTGTGTGTGTGTGTGTGAATACACACGAGTTCCAGGCCAAACACAAACTATTTCTTACTGTACACTATACTCCAACACAAGTTGGAAGGGAGTGTTTGCAAGAGGTTGCTGCAAATGATGGCTAGTAGGCTCAGTTCAGGAAGGAAAAGAGTGGGGGACCTCAAGGTTCAGGTGTCCACTGTGGCCACCAAGGTCAAGGTGGGCAATCACAGGAGCCAGAAGGCTGTACTCAAACATCACTTGAAAGGAAATTATTTTCTTGAGAGACAGAGTTACAGAGAGGAGAATACAGAGAGAGAAAGAGAGATTTTCTACCCCCTGGTTCCCTCCTTAATTGGCTGCCACAGTGGAGGCTAAGTCAGAAGCTGGGAGATTTTTTTTTTTAAGATGTATTTATTTTTTGGGCCCGGCGCGGTGGTGCAAGTGGTTAAGTCCTCGCCTAGCATGCCCAGGATCCCATATGGGCGCCGGTTCTAATCCCGGCAGCCCCGCTTCCCTTCCAGATCCCTGCCTGTGGCCTGGGAAAGCAGTCGAGGACGGCCCAAAGCTTTGGGACCCTGCACCCGCGTGGGAGACCCGGAAGAGGCTCCTGGCTTCGGACCAGCATAGCATCGGGCCGTTGCGCTCACTTGGGGAGTGAATCATCGGACGGAAGATCTTCCTCTCTGTCTCTCCTCTCTGTATATCCGCCTTTCCAATAAAAAATAATAAAAATAAAAATCTTTAAAATAAAAAAAAAAGATGTATTTATTTTTATTGCAAAGTCAGATATACAGAGGAGGAGAGACAGAGAGGAAGAACCTACATCCAATGATTCACTCCCCAAGTGACCACAACAACCAAAGTCAGGAGCCAGGACCTTCCTCCAGGTCTCCCACACAGGTGCAGGGTCAGGGAGCTGGATGGAAAGTGGAGCTGCTGGGATTAGAACCGGAGCTCATATGGGATCCTGGCACATTCAAGGTGGGGACTTAGACCACTAGGGCACTGAAACTGGAGTTTTAGCTGGGTCTCCCATGTGGGTGTGGGGCACCAAGCACTTGGGTTGTCTTCTGTTGCTTCCCCAAGTGCAGCAACTAGCAAGCTGGATTAGAGGTGGAGCAGCCCAGACTCCGATCAGTGCCCACATGCAATGCAGGGATCACAGAAGCTTAACCTTCCAGGCCACAATGCCGCCCACCCCCGCCCCCCACCCCGCCTTTGAAACAGCCATTGGAAGATGCGGCATTCCTGGTGATGGCAATGCCAAAGCCTGGCATTGGAAGAGGATGCCAGAAGCACAGGGAGACATTTGCAGGAAACGAAGGCCCCAGCACTGAGCATGAAGGGGCCCCGTGGATTAGGTGTCTTGCAAGGGGAGGGCAGGAAGTAGGGTGGGGCGGGCTGCCAAGGTTGTCTCTGAACAAAGGGCAGGCAACAGATGAGCCGCTCCCCGTTGGATGCCCTTCCCCAGGCAAATCCACTACCCTGGGGCACACACAAACACACGCTTTGCCACGTGCTGCACAGTCAGTGCACTCCTCAGCTCCCCCACGCCCCTTGGCTGGTTCAGAAGAAAACCTTTTGAAGAAGGGACCAGTAATGCAACTGTTTTGTGAATTCTTCTCTCTGGATCAAATTCTCCATCATGTTGGATCAGCCAAAAATGCTTT